TAAAAAGGAACTGAATAAAGATAATGAGAGCTTTACAGAGAGACTTGAACACACTGTTTCTCACTTTCTTTCTATATCTTTTCTTTTGAATCCACTGTTTTTTCTTTCTCTGAATAATCCCATAACGTTGGTGTTTCTGTTTTCGTGAAAGAGAGAAATGGCAGCCAACATTGGTATTTGTTCTTTTATTATGCTGGTTTTCCTGCTAGTGACTTCCGTTAGTGGAGAAGATCCTTACAGGTTCTACACATGGAATGTTACCTATGGTGATATCTATCCGCTTGGAGTTAAACAGCAGGTTCTTTTCTTCTTAATCTTCATGTATCTTTGCTGCTTTTTTTTTTGGTCTCTTGCTGGGGTTTATACCTACTTCTCTTTGAATTGACAGGGGATCTTGATTAACGGCCAATTTCCAGGGCCGCTGATCGAGTCTGTCACCAATGACAACCTTATTATCAGTGTTTTTAACAGCTTGGACGAGCCTCTTCTTCTCTCCTGGTCAGTACCCCCTTCCACTTTTGGATTCCCCTGCATGTTTAACATGTTTCAAAATGGTTTTCAATGCTTGAACAATCTTTACTGCACTTGCTTTATACACATATATTGGTGCTCCGTTCTGGAGTTTGTTCTCTGCTCAAGAAGCATTAGGTGGTAGATTTATGAAATGGTTCAAAATGATTCACAGATCATTTTCATATAAGGATAATTTCAAATGTGATGCTGAATACTGAGTCTTTACTGCATTTGATTGATACAGAAACAGAGCTACTCTGTTTTCAGGTGGAAAATTTATGTTTCCTTAGTTTACAAGATCACAACCTCTTATAATCTGTAAGGAAGAAAAAATAATACTGAATCTGGGTAATATTAGAAGTGGAGTTTTTTTTTTACTACCCAAAATTTAGTTCGAGTAGGCAATCACTTGAGTCCGGCTAAAATGGTATGTCCTGCTGGTATTGGCTATAGGAATGGTGTACAGCAGAGGAGGAACTCATGGCAAGATGGAGTTTATGGGACCAATTGCCCCATTCCTCCAGGACAGAACTTCACTTATGTGCTTCAAGTGAAAGATCAGATTGGTAGCTATTTCTACTTCCCTTCCTTGGGCATGCACAAGGCTGCAGGAGGCTATGGTGGCATCAAAATTGCCAGCCGCTCTGTTATTCCTGTTCCTTTCCCTCCTCCAGCCGGCGATTTCACCATTCTAACCGGTGATTGGTACAACAAGAATCACACTGTAAGTTGATTTACTCAATTCAGACTTCTCTTTGTATGTCAATGTTGGATGGAGTTGCATGCTGTACTTCTTGACATTTTCATTGAGATCTGGGTGTGCAAAGAAGTTGATAATTTCCTCTTGATTTTGCAGGATTTGCAAGCAATCTTGGATGGTGGAAGTAATCTTCCCTCTCCGGATGGTCTTCTCATCAATGGCCGTGGTTCAAATGCATACACATTCACAGTTGAGCAAGGTAAGCTATGTAACCGGTCATAAGATTTTCTATCATAAAACGTCTTGATTTCGCATTGAAGCAATTCCTTGATGGAATTTTATTTATGTTGGGCAGGCAAGACTTACAGGTTAAGGATATCGAATGTGGGGCTGACAACTTCAATCAATTTCAGAATCCAAGGGCACAAAATGCTTTTGGTAGAGGTGGAAGGAACGCATACCTTGCAGAACACTTATGATTCCATTGACATCCATTTGGGTCAGTCTCTCTCTGTACTGGTTACAGCCGATCAACCAGCACAAGACTATTACATGGTTGCCTCCTCGCGTTTCACTCCCCAAGTCCTCACTACAACGTCCATTTTTCGCTACAGCAACTCAGCTGGAAGTGTTTCCGGTCCTCCCCCTGGCGGGCCTACAATTCAGATCAATTGGTCTCTTGAACAAGCTCGATCCTTCAGGTGTCTCAAAGAAGTAGATCATTAGCATAATTCATTTGGATTAGGATATAATAATGAAATCCAATGACTTATAACGTTTGTTTTACTACCAGGAGGAATCTGACGGCAAGTGGACCCAGACCAAATCCTCAAGGCTCTTACCATTATGGATTGATCAATGTAACCTGGTCAGTCAGACTTGCAAACTCTGCTCCAGTTATTGGTGGCAAGCAGAGGTATGCAGTCAATAGCGTGTCCTTCATCCCAGCAGATACACCCTTGAAGCTTGCAGACCACTTCAAGATACCCGGAGTTTTTGGCCTTGGAAGCATCCCAGACAATCCTACAGGTGGTGGTGCTTACCTCCAGACATCTGTCATGGCTGCTGACTTCCGAGGCTACGCTGAGATCGTGTTTGAGAATCAGGAAGACGAGTTGCAGTCATGGCACATCGATGGCCATAACTTTTTCGTTGTTGGGTAAGCATGTTTAGCTCAACATGACCACTTTCTTTCTTTCCTTGAAAGTGATACAACCTAATATTTGTTTGCATTTTCACTTGTGCAGCATGGATGGAGGGCAATGGTCACCTGCAAGTAGATTGGCTTACAATTTACGGGACACGATTTCTCGTTGCACTGTTCAGGTAAACGTGCAGTTTAAGAGGCACCAATGGTTTCTCCGATTGAAAATATATAACATATCAACACTGAATCTAACTTTAAAAGTACGGTGAATATACAGGTGTATCCTAAGTCATGGACTGCAGTTTACATGCCACTGGACAACGTAGGAATGTGGAATGTGAGATCGGAGAACTGGGCACGCCAATACTTAGGCCAGCAATTCTATTTACGTGTATATTCACCTGCCAATTCATGGAGGGACGAGTATCCAATCCCAAGCAATGCTATTCTCTGTGGCCGGGCAATCGGACATCAAACTCGGGCTCGATAGAGAAGCATATGAGAAAGGAGCGGCTGTCACGAGTGGGTGACAGATAATGCACCAGAAGTAATGTAAGGTTTCTATATAGAGGTGTTTCATGGCTCAGCTTGAGCCAATTTTACCCATTTGATTATTCTCTCCCCCACCCCTCCCCCAAAAAAAACCCTGATAGATTGCTTTTAAGAGCTGTTATGATTTATAAATCAGAAATAGAAGTTGTTTGTGATTCTTTAATTCTGATGTACTTTGTGTTGTGATTTATATATAATTTAAATTAATTGTTTTTATTCCTCAATTCACTAGTATGGAATGTTACTTCAATGTAGTAAACATAATATAACATTAAACATTTAAACTAATTAAAAAAAAAATTAAGATATTTCGATTACACAAAATCTTTGAACTATTTACTGATTACTCAATTAATCATATTATCATAATATATAAGCAAAAAATATTTGGAGTAAATAAATATTTTCAATTCAGGTATTTAGAATTGTTAAGACATTATGTCATATTTGGAGGAAATGAATATTTTTTCTATAAACTTAATAAAAAAAATGAATTCATTCAATTATAAAAAATGTATATATTTATAAAATAATAAAATTTAATTTGTAATAAAAATTGATTTAAATAAGATTGAAAAGAAAATTAAAAGTATGTTAACATATATACAAGTTTATATATATATATATATATATTAAATTTATCTAATGGTCCGGGCTGAGACCGGACTGGACTCCTCATCCGATCAAGAACCGGCTAGTATAAGGACTAGGCCGTTCGGTCTGGTCCGAAGACACCAATCTGGTTCCTACGAACGTACTAGTTCGGAACACACCGATCCGATCCGTGGCTAACCCGCCACTTTCTTCCTCTCTTCTCGCAACCTCCTTCCTCTTTCCCTCACCTGAAACACAGAAGCCCCGAAACACTGTTCAAGCGCAGTCTTGCAGTCACCTAGGACCAGAAGCTTAAAAGCTATTCTAATAATCGAGGGATAGAGAGGTTGCCACAAAATTAGGTAATAAAAGTTTCAAATTGTTAGCTCTTCATTTTTTCTCGTCTTGATTTTAGTTTGTTAGCTGTTAAAAAATATAACGCAGTTTGGCTTCCTTCTTCAGTTACTTGCTTTCTCATACATGCGTATATGTATGTATTTTTGTACGTATGTGTGTGTATATATATACGCGTACGTACAGTTTTTGCTAATGGATATCTCATCCTTTCTTTAATATTGACTTGAGTGAACTAGTAGATCTGCAGATGAGGGTATTCAGGAGGCATTTACTTATGTCTCCAATCTCACCCTGTTTAGCAGATGAAATGAATGCATCATAAAGACATACTATCATATTTTCTACGAGTAGGTGGCTGTGGGGTAAATCATGTTAGTGTGCTTTCCCTTTGGTGAGACTATTTTTCTAAGTTATATCTTACTTTCATGGTTTTCTTTCGCAGGGAGAAAAAGATTAAATCTAAAAATTTATTACTTTTTGCATATGTATTAATATAATAATATATATAATTGTAGTAATGTACATTATCTACTATTAAGTTGCTTTGAAGTTAACTAAATTGTAATGATAGCCTTTTCATTTTCAATTCTTGTACAGATAGATCAGATCGGTAAGAAATATTGAGTTAGTTAATTCTATATTGATTACTTTTTGACGTAAAATAAACTTTAAAAATCTCGTGAAACATATGACTTATGCTAAATAAGTTGATATAGAATGCTCAAAAAAAATAATTATTATATAATTAAATTATATTATTATTTTCTATAGAATACCAAAGATTTGAGTATGATTGAATTATCATGATAACTGTAATATCATGGTTACAAAATTTTTATGGAACTCTTGTGGATGATGATTTTAATTTAAGACATGTCTTTTCTTGGATTTTTTAGTTCCTTTGCTTTTTGCAGGATTTGTCTTCTTCATAATTGATGATGGTTATTTAAATTTCTGTTAATTTTGAAGAGTGTGATTTATTGGACTCAATAGTTTTAATTTTAAATTTTATAAAACATTATATTAATTTTTAAATTAAAATATTTTTTGAATACGTGTTAATTTATTTGTTAGTAAGAGTAATAAATATTAAAATTAACACAAATTTTAAATTAAATGAGCCGATTCAGTGTACTATATAACATAAATATAAATTATTTAACAAGAAATATAAATATATTTTTAAATATTTCTAAAAAAAAATAAAAAATAAAAAAAATCGAAGCGTAGTTGCTACTTGAATGCAGTTGGTTGAAGGGAAGATGGAATTGGTCAACATATGGGCTCGTGTTTAAGAGCCGGCTGGGCTGACTTTCTCATGTGCGGGCATTTACTTGTTTATCCACTACTGTTTTTTTTTTTTTTTTTTATTATTATTATAAAATCAATTGGTCAATAATTTGGTCAACTTTATTTGTTTATTCAAATAAAATAATTGGATAAATGCTCATGGCACATGGTAAGCCAAGTTATTAAATATAAAATAAATTAATTGGGAAACTTGATCTTGTCTTTAGATTTTAACACATCTTCAAATATGATTTTAGATTTTTAACATTTCTTATTAGGGTTAATTTTTAGTTAAAATTTCGTGATTTTATTAATTTCCACAGATTATTTGAATTTTTTTTATAATACATACATACATATATTAAACACATATAAAAAGTCTTTTTTTTTTTACTCGAAAACAAAAAAAAAATAACCATTTTTTTATTATGATTTTAAAATTATAAAAATATTAACATTACTAATTTAAATGAGATATGCAGCACCATATTTCGTTTGTTTTAATATTAATTTCTTAAAAGTTTGCTAATGAATCCAGTGTGCTGATTTAAAAATTATGCAAAAAAAAAAAAAAGGGTTTAGAAATGCATGAGTGAAAATAGATAATTTATTACTTCTATATATATATTAAATTTTCTTTTCTATTTGGAATCCTAAAAAAACAATTTGGTCATTCAAGCTGCAACGTTGATTTCATAAATTATAGTTGTCCAAATTTTATTTTTAGTTTCTTCTTGAGAAGGAGACAAAAAATCACTCGTACTTGAAGGTTGATTTCATAAATTATTGTACTGAATTTTAATGCTTGTTTAACATCAGAAGTAATAGACCTAATTGTAATTAAGCCCAAAATATATATATATAAAAAAAAAAAGTAATTTACTTTCGCTACTCATAGAAAGCAGCCAGCCATGGGGTTTCACCAACTAACGTGGGGTTTGTATTTGACAAAGATTTGTCCGTCTTATTAACACATCTAATCTTAACTTTATGAAAGTATCATCCATGCAACCATGCAAGTCTTTCTCTTGACTATTGAGATTTACATTTAATGTTCACGTCGGTACATCCAACCGTTCCTACGCGGATCTCCAACATGCAGATATTAATGGCTGTTTAGTGTAGAACTGGTGGCTAAACTCTATATAAGGGACACTCTTCCACCATACAAGTGCAAGCTAAGTGATTCTACCCAACAAAAATAGTAGAAGCTAATCGATTTAGAGCTTACCTTAACAGATTGGCTACATACATGGCTCTCTCTTCAAAATGGGTGTCCTTGCTCATCTTTTTTCTCTGCATTGCCCTCCATTTGAGTGCTCTGGCTCTTGCCGACAACCAAATTGACAAGACAAGGTTCCAGGATGATGACTGTAGATGGAATCCACGAAGATGCGGACGATTTGGTGGTCGTGGTCCTCGTTTTGGCCGTGGAAGAGGTGGAGGCATTGGAGGGGGTGGAGGCTTTGGTGGGGGAGGAGGTGGTGGTGTGGGAGGTGGTGCAGGTAGCGGTGGGGGCTTTGGTGGTGGAGCTGGTGGTGGTGTAGGTGGTGGTGCTGGAGGAGGTGTGGGTGGTGGTGGTGGATTTGGTGGAGGTGGTGGAGGGGGTGTTGGTGGAGGTTCTGGTCATGGTGGGGGCTTTGGTGCTGGGGGCGGAGTAGGTGGTGGTCTAGGAGGTGGTGCTGGAGGAGGAGGAGGTGGTGGTGGCGGAGGAGGGGGTGGTGGTGGTGGAGGACTTGGTGGTGGTTCAGGTCATGGTGGGGGCTTTGGAGCTGGAGGTGGTGTAGGTGGTGGTCTAGGAGGTGGTGCTGGAGGAGGTGGTGGAGGAGGAGGAGGAGGTGGTGGAGGTGGAGGAGGACTTGGCGGTGGTTCTGGTCATGGAGGAGGCTTTGGAGCTGGTGGTGGTGTAGGTGGTGGTCTTGGAGGCGGTGCTGGAGGAGGAGGAGGAGGAGGTGGTGGTGGTGGTTTAGGAGGAGGATCCGGTCATGGTAGTGGATTCGGTGCTGGTGGGGGGGTAGGTGGAGGAGCTGGTGGAGGTCTTGGTGGTGGCCACGGGGGTGGAGGAGGTCTTGGTGGCGGACATGGTGGTGGTGGAGGATTTGGTGTTGGTATTGGAATAGGCATTGGCGTTGGTACAGGAGCTGGTCATGGGTCAGGCAGCGGTTCTGGAAGCGGCGGCGGAGGTGGCGGGAGGTGATGGAAGTGTACCTTCAAAATCTCGGCAATGTGGATGTAGTAGTACTGCAAGAAAAACGACGTCCTTTAATTGCAGAACACAATTGTAATTCAAGTTCCTTTTGTTTCTTCTCTTGGTCTGTAAGATTAGTCCCGTAGAAGAGGGTCTCCAACTATCTGTTTGCTATGTCTTGAGAGTTCAAATTCTATTCCAAACCAAATATCCTATATAATAATTCCACACAAACATTTTCCAGTCTTCATCCAACTGTCAATTACACTCACAACGAAGTTTTTCTCCCCATGTGACTTTTGATTTGGGATATGGATCTAAAATTAAATTAGAAAAAAAAAAATGGTTAGGCAAAATCCATTTTTAACGCATGAATCTACAAATAATAAATAAAAATCTAGATTCCAAATTGTTCTGCAGTGACACCATTGAATCTCTCATTCATGCCAACACGTTCATTTAAACTCATGTCCCTACCGACATTTACTTCGGTTTTTTCTTATTATCCTCCTCCTCCTCCTCCTTGTGATAAGGATACTGAATAAGAATTTATAAAACTTCGGTTTTATAGATGGTTCGCCGAAAAGTCTGTAACTCATAATCAAAACGTGTAAATTCACATACCTCTGCATCTCTTTAAACCCTTGGAAAACATCTTCAAACTAGTAGAATTAAGAAATTATGATAGAAAATGAGAATGGAGTTTTAAAATTTGTTTGGTACACTGAAATTCTGGTTTTTATTTCTTAAATTCTGTGTGTTCTTTGAGTGTGTCTATAGGAGAATGTTTGTCCTCAGAGGTGAAAAGGCAAAGAAAATTAAAGAACCAAAATTTTAATTTAACCCTTTTTTAGTTGTGTGATAAAATTCAATGCGTAGCAGAGAGAGTTTTCGACAAGTTGATTAATTTTATGATGTTTTCATTAAATATAAATTTCAAAAATTTGTTTTTACTGATTCAATAATAAATAAAAGTAAAAGTTTTCATTTTATTTTAATTAACTTTTAAAATTTTCCCTCATTAAATTAAAATAAATAAATGATCAAATATACAAATCAACTGAGGGAAAGAAAAAAAAAAAACGTGCTGTAGAATAATCATAGATTAACTTTTATCAAACAAAACTCAGTTGTCAAACTTTCTTTTTTTTTTTTTTCTTAAATTGATTTTCTTTTTACTTTTTATGGTCAAACTAATATTTCAATTATTTTTTTTTTCAAATAAAATTAAGCAACCATATGAGATTTTTAATATGTTGTGACCATCTCAATTAAAAAAATCTAAATTTTTAGTTTAATTTAATTACTGGAGTTTCACCGATATATTAATAAACTAAATTTTTTATTACACTAAATCAATTATTATAAACTGATATACACTTCAAAATAACAAACATTAAAATTCGAACTCAAACCTCCAATTAAAACTCAAGAGCCTTAATTTGTGTTGTTGATCATAAACGATATTTTCAACATATGCATTTATAACTGAAAGAATTAGAGAAATGAATACTGAATATTTTCTTATGTTTTATTAAAATAAAAGTAGGGATATATATACATATAGACGAATTTATATACGGTAAACAACATAAATTACACTAATAATTTTCTTACTAATTAAGCTAACATATTTGTAAATATAATTATACTATTGTGTTAGAAAATATTCCATAATATTTTAACACTCTCTCTCAAACTGAAGCATAGATATTAATCATGTGCAGCTTGGTCCGAAGATACTCAATCCGTGTTCAATTCAGAGACTTTGTGAATATATCACCAAGTTGTTCTCTTGTTTTCACATAACTAGTAGATATAAAATTTTTCTGAATCTTTTCTCGGATGAAGTGGAATCGATCTCGATATGTTTAGTTCTCTCATGATACACAGGATTTAAGGCAATATGAAAGGTAGTCTGATTATCGCACTAAAATTTTACAGGAGATGTGAGATTCAAACCCATTTCTTCTAAAAGATGATGTATCCATAAGACTTCACATATGGACTGAGTCATAACTCTATATTCAGACTCTGCGTTTGAGCGAGATACAACTGTTTGCTTCTTACTTTTTTATTATGCGAGATTTCCACCAACAAAAATACAATAGCCCATAGTCTACCTCCTATCAATCTTCGATCCAGCTCAATCAACTTCTGTAAAATATTCAATGTGAGTATATTCATAATTTTTAAACATTATGCTGAGTTCCGAATCACCTTTTAAGTAGCACAGAATCTGTTTCAGAATCTCTTAATAGTTAACTATAGGTATAGACATAAATTGACTTACAATACTGACAGGATATGCAATATTTGGATGAGTCATAGTGAGATAATTCAATTTTTCAACAAGTTGGCTGTATTTTTCTAGATCATCAAGGGGATCACCATCATCTTTTGTAAGATATACATTTGGTACCATAGACATATTGCATGGTTTAGCTCCTAATTTTTCTGTTTTTGCAAGTAGATCAAGTACATACTTCCTCTTAGATAACAAAATCTCTTCCTTGCTTCTTGTTACTTCAAGCCCCAAGAAATAATTTCGTTGTCCCAAGTATTTGGTATTGAACGTGGTATGCATGAATGACTTGAGAGAGGATATTCATGCATGGTCATCTCATGTAATCACAATATTATCAATATAAACAACAAGAAGTATAATACCAATTGTTGATTGTCTATAAAAGATTGAATACTTACACTTGTTTTTTCTCAATCCGAATTCACATACTACCTCACTAAACTTGTTAAACCACGCACAAGGACTCTGCTTCAGACTATATAAAGATTTTTTCAAATGATAAACTTTTTCATACTCCCCCTGAGCAACAAACTCAAGTAGTTGCTCTATATACACTTCTTCTAAGAGATCATCATGAAAAAATGCATTTTTAATGTCTAGCTGGTGCAAGGACAAGTCTCTACAGGTTGTAATATATATGAATAAACGGACAGATGTAAGTTTTGCCACTAGAGAGAATGTATCAGAATAGTCCACCTCATAAGTATGAACATAATCTTTTGCTACCAATCGAGCTTTAAGTCTCGCTACATAGCCATCTGTATTCACTTTGACTGTAAATACCCATTTGTACCCCTCAACCTTTTTTCCTTTGGATAAATTTACCAAATCTCAGGTATGATTATCATTAAGAGCATTTATTTTCTCAAACATGACATTACGCCAACCAGGGTGATTCAGAGCGTCCTTAACCGTCTTGAGTATGCAAGTTGAATCTATAGAAGCAATTAAAGAGTTAGACAAATGAGACGAATGATCATATGAAATGAAGTTAGCAATAGGATAAGTAGAATGAGGAAGGATGCACTGACGTATACCTTTACGAAAATTGATGAGAAGATCAATATCATGGGTGGGAGGATTAGATGACGAAGAAGCTGGTGCAGGACATGTATTATTAGTCTATTGTCTTCTGAAATAAACAGAAATAATGAGCGGTTGTTCTTGAGTTGGAGGCATATCATCATCAGTTTGTTTAGAAGACACATAAGAAGAAATACCATTATCTGGTTACTCAGTAGAGGTACTGTTCTGGAATCTATAAATGAGTCACTCATCGTCTTTCACCTAATTTGTAGGACTGAACTGTGAGGAGAAAAACGGTATATTCTCTTAAAAACTATATCTACTAACACTAAATATTTATTGAGATCTAAAGAACAACACCGATATCTCTTTTGCATACGAAAATATTACAAAAAGACACACTTTAAGGCTTTAAGATCCAACTTAATAATATTTAGTTGAACATCTCGAACATAATAAGTACTACCAAATATTTGCAGCTGTACCAGAAACAATATCTTGTTTGAAAAAAATAATATTATAAGTAATATCACTTTCAAGTACTCCAGTCGGTAGACAATTAATTTGGAAACAAGTAGTGGATACAACATCAGTCTAAAATTGCTTAGGAACTTTTATCCGAAACAAGAGAGCTCAAGTAGTCTCAAGTAAATGTCTTTTTTTTTTCTCTCAGTAACCACATTTTGAGATGGTGTATTAACACAAGAGGACTGATAAAAAATTTCATGTTGAGTCATATAATTCTGAAATGAGTCTGACATATATTCTTTAACATTATCATTTCTTAGCGCATGCACAGAAATATTAAATTGAGTTTTGATTTTCGCATGAAAGTACAAAAATGAGCAAACATTTCAGAACAATTTTCATAAAATATATCTAAGTCATTCGAGAAAAATCATTAATAAAAGTAACAAAATACTTAAACTCTATTTTAAACATAATAGAACATTAACCCCAAATATAAGAGTGAATTAATTTAAAAGCAAACTCAGCATGTTTATTAATTCTTGGACTTGACGAACTACGATGATGTTTTGCAAACTAACATGACTCACAATCTAATGAAGATATATCATGAAACTGAAGACACAACTTCTTCAACGTAGTGAGAGGTGGATGCCCCAACTGACAATGTACTTCAAATAGAGAGACAATATTAAAACAGATAATTGATCGAGGTACCCAATTATTAAGAATGTAGAGACCTTCTAATAAATGTCATTTATCAATAATATGCTTCGTCATAAGATTCTGAAAAAGACAATGATCAGGAAAGAATGGAATCTTTGGTAAGTCTACTTACAGAAATCAAATTGAAAGCAAGTTTGAGTAGACTTAAAACAGAGGTCAAGGTAATGACAGGAGTTAGTTTTATAGTCTCAAAACCCTCAATACTATAGGTTGACCCATCAGCAATAGTTACAGGAGATGGCACTCTGTGTGATCGAAAGGTAGAGAAGATATTAGAGTTACCTGTCATTTGATCTGTAGCACCAAAATCAATCACTCATTTGTTTAATGAGGAGATAAAACATCTTTTACCTGATTCAGCAGACATAGTGGCTGGTGTGCGATCTTTCAAATATTCTTAAAACTGAGAGAATCTTGCATACTCGACGACTGAAACCACAATAATTTTCTCAGAAGATGAGCTAACAATAGCAACAGTAGCAATATTCACAGTTTGTGTTCTTTGATTTTGATTCTATAATTTCTTGTATTATAGCTTCGTACATTCTTACTCATAACAGTAATAATAAACAATATTACTTGAATCATTATACCGACTATCCATTGCTCTTGAATCATTATATCGACTATCTATTGCTTTGTTTCCTCCCCTATTCTTATTTCTTCATCCTCCTCTAACAATAAGAACATTAGTCTGTTGATTAGGTATAGTAGTCTTTGTACGTAACACTCTACTAAAAACTTCTTAAAGAGATATGATCTCGGAACCAGATAGGATTTGAGGCTTAGTAGTCTCAAATTCAGATGGAAGACCAACCAAGAAACTCATTATGGTCATCTATTCTCTTTGTGTTTGTTGTACCTTGATATCAGCACTGAACGACAAAAGTACATTAA